CTAAGTATATAAGCGTGGAATCGACGATTCGTTCAGCCCCAACCGCCAACCCTCACTCCTCAGCCCTCATCCGCATCCACGGATCCACCCAGCGCCATGACGCCTGACACCCGCCGCATCCACGACGGCGACGAAGGACGGCGGGTCGGCGGCTCGTTCTTCCCGCTGACGGCCAGACGCAGTATGCGGCGGCGCATCTCGATTGGCGACTCCGGCGTCGGCAAGTCCAACTCTGCTCTCACGCTTCACGCAAGAACGAAGTTCGACCTCGAAGTTCCGTCTCTTCCTGCCCGTCTCGCCGACCGGAAGAGGTGAGCCGTCCGTCCTCTTGCCCTCCTCGCTCTCGGCCGCCGCTTTCCATTCGTTCGTTTCCCCGCCTCTCCGTTGCTTCCTCATTGCTGGGCTACTTACCGGTGCGGCGCTCGCCGCCGCCGCGGTCTACAGGTGCGGGCGTGGGGACGACGCCGGATCTGTGGTGCCGCCGGTGGGGCAAGATCTGGAGCGAGGCTGCGCGGGAGCTGATCCGGAGCTGCGTCTGGTGTGCCGGAGCTTGGCATGATCGGCGCGCGGCGCCTTTCTATGCAGATGCGGTCGCTTAGGTATGGTTCCTCGGCCGCCTTCTTCTTCTTGCGCTTATCGCTTATGAAATCGATCTATAGAGATGTGACATTTTGATTTTTCTTACGCTTACTTGCATGGACACGGTCTCGGCTCTCTCGACATCGCCTATAGTTGAGAGCTCTCTGTAAGTCTCATTCTAGGCGGCGTGCATGCCAATTGTTCTTGGTGTCGGTAGAGAGATGTTGCTCATGGCATCGGTTTCAAATCGATGGTATATTTCTGAGTCTAGTATTTAAGCTCATGGTACTTCTCATGGGTGCCATGCTAAAGGCTCTGTTGAAACCCTAAGATGTAAAATTCTTCAATTATACGCTATTTGCAATTGGCATATATCCATGCGCTTTTGTGAAAAATTTGTTTTTCGCAATTCTCTCTATTCATAGAATGAATTCATTGCTGCAATTGGCTCACACCAAAGGATATATGCAATTTTTCCATATGTTGTTCAGAAAAGTTTTTTTTCCATATTTGCTGCAATTGGCTCTGTTGAAACCTGCACTCATTGCTGCAAATGGCCGTAAATTGAAGTGATTTCCACTTTCTTATGCTTTTCTTATTGTCAATAGCCATTGAAAAGTTTGTTGAGAAGTTAGCCCATCTTATGTCTATGCTCATCACGAATTTCCCTTTTGTATTTGTCAGGAAGTGAGCAATGTCGGCTCCTGGCGCTTCAAGTGGGTCTCAAGCTGCTGCTTGCTTTGCATCTCAATCTGTGGGTTCTCGCCCACGTCTTTTACAATGCCCAATTCAAGAACACCACCATCCGATTCAAAGAAGACCGCAATCGATTACGCAACTCTAGGTAATAATTCAAGTGGTAGAGGTAGAAGATGATGTTCCTGTTGGTAGTAAGAGGAAGCTAAGATCTGAAGTATGGAAAGACTTTGATTTGATTAATGTAAGTGGGGTATGGAAAGCAAAATGTAAATGGTGCAAAAAAACATTTAGGTGGGGAGACAAGAAATGGTACAACCCACTTAAAGAAACACATTGTTTGTATGTCAGATGATGAGCTACTAGAAAAGGTTTAACACAGTCTACTCTTAAATTATCGCAAACCCACAAGATGGCACTTTGTCACATTAGAGAAGTATGTGTTTGATCAAGATTTCGCTAGGAAAGAACTTGCTTTAATGATTATTGTCCATGAGTTTCCTCTTTCCATGGTGGACTATGTTGGATTTCATGAAGTTTTGTGTTGCATTGCAGCCAAAGATTCAATGTAGTGTCTAGAAACACAATTAGGAAGGATATCTTGGATATGTATCAAGTGCGTGAAGCAATCTATGGTGAATTACATCAAAAATTGAGTGCTCGTGTTGTTTGCATACTACGGACTTGTGGACAACAAACCACAGAGAGAAAAGGTTACATGGCGATTCTGACCCATTTTCTAGATGAAGATTGGAAGCTTAAAAGTTTTCTTATTAGGTAATAATAAATCACATCATTTTGTGTTCTTGTGGACAGCAAACAACCAAAGAAAAGTTTTCAGTATTAGCTAAAAAGTTTTCTTATTGTTGTAGGTTTATTTATGTTCCCAAGCACCACATACTTGTAGAGGTTATAGCAGAGGTTCTTCATGAAGTTCTCCTAGATTGGCATATTGAGAGGAATCTGTCCACTATAACTCTTGACAACTGTAGTGTCAATGATAGCCTCATGAAGACCTTGATTGGCACCGATGGTGATGACCTTGCAAAAAGAACAAGGCTCTTTGTGGAAGGCAAGTTACCACTCCTCTCTTGTATGTTGAAGGGCAAATTAATTCATATGCGTAGTCTTTGCATATATTTTAAATTTGATTGTGAAAGATGGAATGAGTGTAATGGAGAAGGGAATTGATAATGTGCGTGATAGTGTTGCATACTGGTCGGCCACTCCTAAAAGACATGAGAAGTTTGAGAAAATGGCAGCACAAATGAAAGGAAAATATGAGAAAAGAATTGCTCTTGATTGTAAAACTAGATGGAACTCTACTTATATTATGCTTAGCACTGCACTAGTTTACCAAGATGTTTTTGAGCGCCTTGCTTCTCGTGCTCCTTGTGTTCCATCTCAAGATGATTGGAAGTTTGCTAGAGAGCTTTGTGATAGGTTAAAGATGTTCTATGATGTAACTGAGCTACTATCTGGAACTAAATATGTCATAGCCAACCTTATCTTTCCCAAAATATGCAACATTTTTTTGACAATTAGGAAGTGGCAAAGCAGTGAAATTCCTAAGGTAGAAGAAATGTCTATTAAAATGAAAGAGAAATTCAACAAGTATTGGTCAGATGTGCATGGTTTGATGGCTGTTGCTGCTGTCCTAGATCCTAGGTTTAAATTACAATTGTTGAATGCTCTTTTTCTTAAAATTCATGGGTCAGAAAGTGTAGCTATGGAAGCTGTCAACAAAGTGAAAGACTTGTTATACAATCTGGTTTTGGAATACCAAGATTGTATGGAGGATGTTGCCACAACAGATGGTGCTCAAACTAGACCAAGTGCTCCTTCTCAGATGGATGATGAAGATTGGATTGACACTTTTGATGATTACATGTCCAAACAGCCAGCTGTGACCTCCACCTATGTGCGAACAGAGTTAGATTTGTACTTGGAAGAGCCACTGCTGCCTAGGACACAAGAGTTAGATATCATTCAGTGGTGGCAACATGCAGGGCTCAAATACCCAACATTACAAAAAATTGCACGTGATGTCCTTGCTATTCCTGTGACAACGGTGGCATCCGAGTCAGCCTTTAGCACTAGTGGGAGAATAATTAGTCCACATCGTAGTAGGCTTGCACCATCAATGATTGAGGCACTTATGTGTATGCAAGCATGGTCTCATAATGACATGTTAGGTAAGTGCAGTTTCTATAAGTATGTGGTTTTCATTCCATATAAGTTATATAACTAATTTGTGAAAATCACATCAATGCAGGGTCTCATTCTACTTTTGTTGGTGCTTTGATGACTTGTCTTGATGAAAAAGATGAAGAAATGGTAGTGCTGTTGTTTCCTTTATATTCAATTTGTGAATTTACAATGCGTTGAACATTCAAGTAATGAGCTACTCTTTATTTTTATTTCACAGGATGAAGATGACTCCACCATAATTGATGAATGATGAACTCTGTAATAATCTGGACAGTGTGTGTACTGTTATTTGTTTGGACTGTAATATGTGAACTGTACTGAACTTGGGTTGCTTCTCCAATTCTACCTTTGTGGCGCTGCAATATTTGTTTGGACTGTAATTGATGAATGTTTGGACTGTAATATTTGTTTGGATGTTTGGACTTTGCCACTTTGGACTAACTTCTGTACCATGTACGTCTGTATATGTGTGTAATATCTTTTGTTTGGACTTTGCCACTTTGGACTGTAATACTATTGTTTGGACTGTAATATTTGGACAGTGTGTTTTGTAAATGGCTGGACACAAATGTAGCTGCTACTTGCATGTTCTGTACAATATCCTCGGGTTTCGGTTAATCCATCGGGTTTCGGGGATCCGCGGGTTTCGGTTTTGGGGATGGATTTTCACCCGAATCGATTTTCGGGGCGGATTCGGGTTTCAGGTTCGGGTTTCGGTTTTGGGTGCCCAGACACTCCACCCGATCCGAACCCGCCCCGTTGCCATCTTTAGGAATCTCACTGTGGGTATGGACCCAAGAAAATGTAGCTGTTGGTGTGCCCGAAGACTTGACTCCCAGCTACCCAGACTTTACCCTCCAATCCATTGTCCTGTACACTCCACAACCATTCAGCATACCACACCAACTCATTCCTCTGAATCCATCTGTGTGGTTTCTCCCTCCATTGGCCTGCTGCTTGCATGCTTCAGGTGCACTGGGAGAAGATGGGGGTGGTGGGAGCTGTGGTGGATGCTGCCATCTGCTGGCTGGTGCAAAGCATCCTTGGGAGCTTCTTCACTGAGAAAATGGAAGCATGGGCTCGTGGTGTCGGGCTTGCCGACGATGTGGAGAACCTCAAGTCTGAGATGAGGAACGTGGAGATGGTGCTCGCTGCAGCCGAGGGGAGGAGGATTGAGAACAAGCCACTGGCCCGGTCCCTTCATGATCTCAAAGAGCTGCTTTATGATGCCGAAGATGTGATGGACGAGCTCGACTACTACCGCCTCCAGCAACAGATCGAACAAGGTACCTCACTCAGATCATCGATGTTATGTACCCGTCTTCCATGTTTCTTGCCTTACCTCTACTCTGCCTCTTAAAAATTATCAGTCCGCTGCTGCGTTAATTTTTTTCTTAATTGTGATTTCTTTTGACATGCTTTAACTTGTCTTAACTATTATTAGTGATTTCGGGGTAATATCTGCTTTTGCTTGAGTGCCTCTTAAAAATTCCATGTTTCTCTTGCTTGTGCAGGGGAAGGCTGTACTGATCCTGAGGAGAGTTCTGTGTCTTCTTCCACTCCATCTTTGCAACTAGCATGTACTAGTGCCACAAGCCGAATTGTTGGTTGGTGCAGACGTGACAGAAAAAGGAAGAGAGAGGAAGAGCCAACTTATAGCACCATTTCTGAGAGGATCAGGGGGATAGTGGATCATTTGGGTAAACTTCGCAGTTCTGCGCGGGAGGTTCTTCAGCTAGAGATCTCACGCCCCATTACTATGGCAAACCAGAGTCAGTGTGTGGTCAGGAACACGCGCCTGACAACTTCTTTTCCAGTTGAAGACAAGGTATACGGAAGGGATACGGAGAGGGACAAGATAGTAGATCTGTTAATCAAAGGGAAATCTAGTGATCTACAAATTCTGCCTATAGTTGGCATCGGTGGTGTTGGGAAGACGACACTTGCTAGATTTGTTTACGGTGATCGAAGAATCAAAAAACATTTTGATCTGCGAATGTGGGTTTGCGTCTCCACTAACTTTGACACAATGAGACTAACGCGCGAGATCTTGGAACATGTATGCACAGATAGACAACAGTTCGAAAAAATCACCAACTTCAACGTGCTGCAGGATATCCTTCTGAAGAATCTTGAAAACAAAAGGTTCCTGCTTGTATTTGATGACATGTGGGAGGAAAAGGACAGGAGAGGATGGTTTAGTCTGTTAGCTCCACTAAAACACAATCATGTACCTGGCTGCATGATTTTAGCAACAACTCGAAGACCATCAGTTGCAAAAATGATAGAAACAATGGATTCGGTATCAGTGAAAGGTCTGGATGAAAAAGAATTTTGGCTGTTCTTCAAGGCATGTGCATTTGGTAATGAAAGCCATGAGGGCCATCCTAATTTGCAGTCCATTGGGCAGCATATTGTCAAAGCACTAAAGGGTTGTCCACTAGCTGCACGGAGTGTTGGTGCTCTTTTGAACAAAGATATTACCTACGAGCACTGGAGGACAGTTCAAAACAAATGGAAATCTCTTCAAGAAGATACTGATGATATTTTACCTATCTTGAAGCTCAGTTATGATTTTTTACCGGTGCACCTGCAGCAGTGTTTCTCATACTGCTCTCTGTTTCCAGAGGACTATAGATTTAATGGGGAAAATTTGGTCCGTTATTGGATATCACAAAATTTTGTGCAGTGTGAAGACCCTACCAAGAGATTGGAGGAAACAGGGAAGCAATATTTGGATAACTTAGTGGATTTAGGCTTTTTTCAAAAGGTTGACTCGGACTATGTCATGCATGACCTAATGCATGAAATGGCTCAGATGGTTTCGCTAACTGAGTATGCCACCATAAATGGATCCAACTCTATGGCCATTAAACCAAGTGTTCGCCACTTGTCAATCATAACCACTGCTTATGAGAAACATGGACATTGCAGTATCCCTTGTGACAAGTTTGAGAACATACTAGAGAATATTGGGTCCTCAGAAAAATTGAGGACCTTGATAGTTTTCGGCAGAAGCAGCATACATTTATTAAGGCTCCTACACACCTTATGCATGAAGTCAAAAAGTTTACGAGTCGTGAGGATTTATGTGACGCATAATGATGTCAGCACTACATCTGATTTGTTAAATCCATATCATCTTCGCTATCTTGAATTTATCGGTGTGTTCTCCAACACAAATATTTGGTCAAATGTAGACCTTAAGAAGAATATTGTTCTTCCTCAAGCTTTGACAAAATTTTACCACCTTCAATTCTTCAACGTCGACATTGGAAGCAATATTTCTGTACCTACCAGTATGAATAACCTCATTAATTTACGGAGTATTGTTGGTCATGAGAAAGTGCACTCAGAAATCGCTGGTGTTGGCAAGTTGACCTCTCTTCAAGGACTAAAATTGAAGGTCCGAAGTGTTGATGAATTTGACATAAGACAACTTCGATCCATGACCAAGCTTTTAACTCTTGAAATTTCTCAACTTGAAAATGTGAAGACAAAAGAACAGGCCAGTGGAGCTAGGCTGATAGACAAAGAGTATCTGCAAGAGTTATCCTTTATCAGTGTGGGCCTTGATCCTTGTACAGCTAGAAGAACAGAAGATGTGCTTGAGGGTCTTCAACCTCATGAGAACCTAAAAAGTCTACGTATAACTGGGTACAATGGTGTTAACTCACCAGCCTGGCTTGCTGGTAATATGTCTATTAAGATGCTGCAGATACTTCATTTGGAGAATTGCAATGAATGGCGAATTCTTCCTCTCCAATTGCTTCCGTTCCTTAGGAAGCTGAAAATGATCAGGATGTGGAACTTGATGGAAATTTCAATTCCTTCTTTGGAAGAGTTGGTCTTGATTGAGATGCCAAGATTGGAAAAATGTCTTGGTACTTATGGGGTGGAATTGACCTCCAAACTTAGGGTAATTATCATCAAGGGCTGCCCTCAACTGAACGAGTTTACTATTTTTCATAGTTACTCTTCTTTCCGTGCCGAGCAGCAGTCATGGTTTCCGTTTCTCAGCAAACTGGCCATCTGTTATTGTCCTCGTGTAATGTAAGTATTCTTCTTTAATTTTGCTTGAATAGTATTGTATTAGTACCCATTTGCAATTTTTGGCACACTTAGATAAATGATATTGCAGGAACTGGGAAATCCTTCCACTGGGAGGAATGCGGGCACTCAAGGATTTGAAGTTAATGGACCTGCATCTTGTGAGAGAGTTGTCAGTTCCTTCTCTGGAGAACTTGGAGTTGATTACAATGCCAAGACTAGAAAGATGCAGCGGGCTGACGGCTCCTCCATCTTCGCCTTCACAGGAGGAACAGAATGTGTATCTATCTAGTCTCCGTAGACTCATCCTCCAAGACTGCCCTAGTCTGATGATGGTCTCGCGTCCTCTCCCACCTTCTGCTCATATACGGGAAATTTCCATCAAAGGAAAACTATCAATAGATATAGATAGCATATCGCTCAAGATAGCATCCAGTGAGTTGAGTGTGCTGGATGACCGGATCTTAGCATTCCATAATCTTAGGGGCATGACATCGTTGAGCATAGGGAATTGTCCAAAATTGATTTCTATTTCAAGTGCAAGTTTCAGCCAGCTCACCTGTTTAGTGTCTTTGAGTATACACAACTGCTCTAACTTGCTCAAGCCACCCATCACGTTAGAGGCTGCATCGGAAACCATTCCTGCCCTCCCATCTCTCAAACATCTCGATATTTCTTCTTCCGGCATAGCAGGGGGGTGGCTGACTAACATGCTTCCTCATTTGCGGTCCCTTGAGGAATTGAGCCTCCAAGACTGTCCCCAAATAAAATGGTTATCGATTGGTCAACCCACAGAACCGGAAGGAAGCAGCAGTTTGGTTTCAGCAGTGGCGTTGTCTGCAGAAGACCAAACACTACTGAAAGTGCCATCTAACATCCTCTGTTCTCTAAAGCAGCTAACTATTTCTGGATGTGTAGATCTGGGGTTTTATGGTGGCAAGGGAGGCTTCGGAGGATTCACCACTCTTGAGAAGCTACAGATTGATGGTTGCCCAAAGCTGGGTTCGTTGTTGGTCAACGGCACAAAAGACGATGGTACTAGTAACATGGATGTTGCATTACTCCCACCGTCCCTTAAGAAGCTAGGCATTTCTGGTTGTCCCAAGCTGGTGTCGCTGTTGGCTAGGGATAGAAAAGATGATATTAGTAACGTGGATGTTGGATTACTCCCGTCGTCACTTGAAGTGCTTTCTCTTAGTCATCTCCCAGAAAACTTGCAGTCCTACTTCCTTAAAGGCTTGGCCTACCTCAGGGACTTGAGACTCGGGGATAGCCCATTTTTTAAGTGTGTACAGCTCCATTTGTGCACGGCCTTGGAGGATCTGCAAATTTGGGGGTGTGAACAGCTTGGTGCATTGGAGGGCTTGCAATTCCTCACCACTCTTAGAAGCATGAAAATTTCTAGGTGTCAACAGCTGGGTGCGTTGGAGGGCTTGCAATTCCTCACCTCTCTTCAAAGCTTGATAATTTCGAGCTGTCCACAGCTAGGTGCGTTGGAGGGCTTGCAATTGCTCAGTTCTCTTGGAAGCTTGGAAATAGAATTGACTCCTACGTTATCTGCTGCATGGGAGCGGGATCCAAAGCTACAGGAGCAAGAACAGGGTGGAAATCATATTGGACTGCTTCCTCCGTCAATTACCAGACTTGTGATCCGGAATCTCACAAACAATGTCCAGTCCCGTCTGCTATCCTGTCTCCCTGCCATAACTGAACTAGCAGTACGGGAAAGTCCAGAATTGACATCTCTACAGCTGGGATACTGCACGGCACTGACAGAGTTAGAAATTAGAGATTGTGACTCGCTTGCTTCTCTACAGCTGGGATACTGCACGGCACTGACAAAGTTAAAAATTAGAGATTGTGAGTCACTTGCTTCTCTACAGCTGGGATACTGCACGGCACTGACAGAGTTAGAAATTAGAGATTGTGACTCGCTTGCTTCTCTACAGCTGGGATACTGCACGGCACTAACAGAGTTAGAAATTAGAGATTGTGACTCGCTTGCTTCTCTACAGCTGGGATACTGCACGGCACTGACAAAGTTAAAAATTAGAGATTGTGAGTCACTTGCTTCCATCGAGGGATTCCAGTTCATTACAAACCTGACGTCCTTCACAGTAGCTGCCTCGTCCAGCTTACCTCCATGGATGGAGCTTTTGTTGCAGCAGCAAGGGGTCTGTGAGGTCTTGTCTGGACTGGAAAGACTTGAGATTATTGGGGATGCCTCTGTCCTTACCATGCCCCTCTGCCAACAGCTCACGTCTCTACGATGTCTGATATTCAGTGGAAAAGAAACGAGCTCGATGGTGAGCCTAACGGAGGAACACGAGAGAGCGCTTCAGCTGCTCACCTCCCTCCAACTACTCATATTTATTGGCTTCCCCAACCTCCTTTCACTTCCTGCAATTCTGCGAAGACTTGTCTCCCTCAAGTTTCTGGGAATCTGGTCCTGTCCGAGCATCTCAGAGCTGCCGGAAATGGCATCTTCATGTGGACTTTCTGTGTGCCATTGCAGCGAGGAGCTATCTCGGCGATGCAAAGAATGGGTGGAACTGAGAATGGAGACGATTGATTATGAGAATAGCCTATTTTTGGGCTTGATGGACTAATATGATTGGTGCATATTGCAGAAGCCCCTTTTGTTTTCAATTTTCAAGTGATGCATATTTATTTTGATGTCTTACTACTAGCTGTTTTGTTCATTGGTTTATTTGATGTTGTCATTTTCCCTTCTCACTCACTGCCATGATTTCTAGAGAAGAAAACTACGTGCAAATAAATAAGAGTGGGAGCCAACAATGTTGCATGCTTGTGAACAGAGCCGCCCTCTATTCCAGGACTAGAGGAAAGAAAAAACAGTTAGGCCTTCTATCGTGGGATAGGAGGGAGTATTATCAAGCAACTACTACTCCGATCTCAAAACAATTAAGGTACATTTATATTGTTAATGGCATCTGATCGAAAGTCATGTGTAGTGTGTTTTGTGCCGAGAATAAATTAAAGCCGAATTTCTATAAATAATCCCATGTGTTGTGAACTTGTGAAGAATATTGGGTCATTTTTTTTTCTTTTTGCTGCTGTTCGTTACGTGGCTTGACCTCAAAAATCAAAGACGGTTCAAGCCTGATGCGGTCGCCTAGTGGAAGATTTGGGTTTGAAAAATTCCACGGTATAGTATACTTGGCCGCTTAATTGATCCAACAAATACTTGCGTGTATATTATTCTCCTCTCTAGTGTTTTGGGTTGTCTTTTAAGTCAACCGTTCCAAAAAAAATAGTTGCAATGTTGCTTTTGATACGTTGAGTTTGGATTAATTCAAACCCAGACGGGCCTAAACCTACCCAACACATAAACTTGGCCCAGCCCACCTACCCATTCCTTCCCTCGTTTTGTCTCATGACCCAACTGGTAGGAGCTCCAGCCCAAGTCCAGAGCGCCGAATTACATGCCAAGCACACCCAAATCGTCCATGGCGCCGCCCGCCGGCCGAGTTAATGGAACAATCCATTCTAGGCGACCTCGCTGCCGTTGTCTAGTACTGGGAGTTAACCGACGGAGGAGGAGGAGAGCGCAGGTGTGGCGTTGTCTCGTCGACTCCACCATCCGGATTCCACGCAGCTGCCGCACGAACGGCCAGCCATGGCGCCATTTCCAGGTAATTAATTCAAGCGCTGGGCTCGCGAACTCTCTCCCTCCATCTCATGCTCACTCACTCCCACGTGTTTGACGCGGCGCCGGGCCGGTGCCTCATTTTGATGCACGCGCGCGTGTTTTGGGGCGTCAACACTGATGCCGTGTTCTTCAATCTTCAGATATTGTTCCCTTTTTACCTCTGCAACAAAGAATTAGTCCACTGCGCTGCCTCTGCCTGTTGCTCCATCGATGCCATACCGAAATGTCTCACCTCGTTTGTTTAATCCTCCCCCGAAGAGGATTGGAGGGGATGATTTGACTTGTACGTATATAGGAATTGATCTCCTTCGATTCCTTCAATCCCCTTCAAATCACCTCAAATCCCAAATCCCCACCAAACCGAATAAGGCCTGATGGATGGGTACCTCTTCAGGAAGCAGCGCAAGAAAGAGAGATAATGACATCGCTATGGTTAAGGTCAGTTCTCGGTGCTATCCAAGCTCGCTCGGTCAGCATCCAAGAAACTGCATTGGAACCACAGGCAGCAGCTCTATGACAATCCAGTAGACGACAGCTAGTAATAAGTAGTTGACAATGTTGGCGTCGTGTGGCTGCTAGGATCGAGAGGGAGAGACGACGACGAAGCTACAGTACCCGCGGGGTACTGTTCACGCGAGGGAGAGAGAGAGAGAGAGGGGGAAGGGACGGCTGGCTCCCAAAGAAGTCAGCAACTTACTTCTTGCTTGACTATAACTTATATAGGGTTCTTTTTTTATAGAGATGATTGACTTAACCCCTAAGAAAATATCTTAACCGAATCAATCTAATATATATCTTTCCTAATAAACTAAACCACATATCTCTTTCCTAATAAACCAAACAATCTAATATAATCTGTTCACGCGCAGCACAAGCACCGCTCGTCTCTGAAGACCGCATGGGCCCTCGGGTGGCTCTACTTGTTATAACACCGCTCCACCCTCAAGACAGCTCGCCCTCGAGCTGTGGCGATTGTTGGAGCGGAAGACCTTGCGGTCCGAGAAGATCGCCATGGTAGACCCGCTTCCTTCTCGAGGTGCCAAACTTGGCTGCTCCATCGATCTCACGTGGAATCGAATCCGCCGGATCGAATCCATGGAGCGCTTTCGACATGGAGTCGATGGTGCCCTCCACGAGCGTACCACCCCGCTATGGGTGTAGCGAAAGGTGGTTGTCTTGAGGCGTACTCCAAGCGACCGATGGAGCTTTGAAGGCTCTTCTTTGAGCCGGCGGAGAATAAGCGATGCAAACAGCCACGGCCCCGCTTGAGGAATCGGTGTTTGTGGCTCAGAGAGGAGGCGACAAAGGCACCATGTCCGCCAATGTTTGCAGATGGATGATCGCCGCATTGGTGACACTAGTCTTTGGCGGGGTTGTTGGCGGCCGGTGATGAGACCGCCGGAGTTATGGCGGCCGGGGCCTTCATTGGTGATGTGGCGAACTCCAACAGGGCCTGTGCCGTGGCCGAGGGCGCCGTGCCCGTGCTGTCCATCGAGGGTGATGCGGCGGAGAGCGTCGGCATCAGGCTGCCGCCGTGGAACAGGGGGCCGTCCACCCGCCAGAAGACGCCGAGCCGGGCGCCGCCAGCGCCAAGAGACTTCCGGGCGGAAAGCGGTAGTAGGTGCGGTGGTATCGGGCGCCGTGTAGATGGGTTTCGACGAACCGGCGATCCAAGCCGGAAGCGGTGACGGCGACGGTGGGAACTGGATCTGCTGGATGGGAACGCCCTGGGACGGCGGTGGCACGGCTGGGAACGAGGTCGTCGCAGTCCCGTCGTAGGGCATCCCATACTGGTACGAGATGACCGGCGCCGTGGTCGCGGCGAGGAAGGCCCTGATGCCCGCCACGGCCTGCCGTAATTCCAGGATTGCGGCCGTCATCTGCTCCGGGGTGAGGACGAGGGCGGCGGGAGACGACGGCGCCGGGGCAGAGGGCGCGATCGCCCCTGAGGACGCCAGCGCGCCCAATGCCGGCGCGCTGATATGTGGCAGCAGCGCCGACGAAGACGCTGGTGGCAGCGGGTGGACATGATCGAACCACATGATCGAATCAGAGATCTCTGATACCAGATTGCTATGTGGCTGCTAGGATTGAGAGAGAGAGGCGGCGACGGAGCTACAGTACCCGCGGGTACTGTTCACACGAGGGAGAGAGGGCAGGGACGGCTAGCTCCCAAGGGAAGCCAGCAACTTAATTGTTGCTTCTTGCTTGACTATAACTGTTACAGGGTTATTTTTTATAGAGATGACTGACTTGACCCCTAAGAAAATATCCTAACCGAATTAATCTAACATATATCTTTCCTAACAAACCAAACCACATATCTCTTTCCTAACAAATCAAACAATCTAATATAATCGGTTCATGAGCTACAGTACCACGTCGCTACAGTACCACGTGGGCCCTTGGGCCGGCTCTACTTGCCATAACAGTTGGCATCATCTAGTTATGTCCAATTGTCATCAAGGGCTGCCCTCAGCTGAATGAGTTCACTCCTTTCCAGAGTTACTCTTCTTTCCATGCCGAGCAGCAGTCGTGGTTTCCGTTTCTCAGCAAATTGGCCATTTGTTATTGTCCTCATATAATGTAAGTACTCTTTAACTTTGCTTTAATAGCACTAGTACTCATTTGCAAATTTGGCGCACTTACTTAGATAAATGATATTGCAGGAACTGGGAAATCCTTTCACTGGGAGGAATGCGGGCACTAGAGGAGTTGAAGTTAATGGACCTGCATCTTGTGAGAGAATTGTCAGTTCCTTGTCTGGATAGGTTGGAGTTGATTAAAATGCCAAGCCTGGAAAGGTGTAGGGAGCTGACAGGTCCTCTATTTTCGTCTTCACAAGAAGAGTTGAAGGTGTGCCTATCTAGTCTCCATAACCTCATCATCCGTGATTGCCCTAGCCTCATTGTGCCGTTTCCTGTTCCACCTTCTGCTCATATACAGGAACTTATCATCGAAGGAAAACTATCAATAAATATGTATTCCACACCCACAGAGCTCGATATAAAATCCAATGAACTAAGTGTGCTGGATGACCAGATCTTAGCATTTCATAATCTTAGGGGCATGACATCGTTGAGTATATGGAACTGTCCAAAATTGATATCTATTTCAAGTGAAGGTTTGAGCCAGCTCACTGGTTTAGTGTCTTTGGGTATATACAACTGCTCTAACTTGCTCAAGCCACCCATCACGATAGAAGCTCCCTCGGAAAACAGTTCATCTGGAAACATCCCCGTCCTCCCATCTCTCAAACATCTCGATATTTCTTCTTCCGGCATAGCAGGGGGGTGGTTGACTAAAATGCTTCCTCATTTGTGGTCCCTTGAGACACTACACTTAAGTCACTGTCCGCAAATAAAATGGTTATCGATCAGTCAACCTACAGAAACAGAAGGAAGCAGCAGTTTGGTTTCAGCAGTGGCGTTGTCTTCAGAAGACCAAACACTATTTAAAGTGCCATCTAATATCCTCTATTCTCTAAAGCAGCTAACTATTTCTGGATGTGTTGATCTGGAGTTTTATGGTGGCAAGGAAGGCTTTGGAGGATTCGCCACTCTTGAGAAGCTAGAGATTAGTGAGTGCCCAAAGCTTGGTTCATTGTTGGTGAGTGGCACGAAAGACGATGATACTAGTAACATGGATGCTGCATTACTCCCACCGTCTCTCAAGAAGCTAGGCATTTCTGGTTGCCCCATGCTGGTGTCGTTGTTGGCGAGGGATACAAAAGATGATACTAGTAACGTGGATGTTGGATTACTCCCGCCGTCACTTGAAGAGCTTTCTCTTAGTAATCTCCCAGAAAACTTTCAATCCTACTTCTCGAAAGGCCTGGCCTACCTCAAGTACTTGAACCTCGTGGATAGCCCATGTTTGAAGTGTGTACAGCTCCATTCATGCATTGCCTCGAGGGAGCTGCGAATCTGCAGGTGT